AGTACTTTATTAGCTGGTTGTTTGGCCAAGCGGTGACCTCACTGTACTGTCAGGGTCGGGTTAGCGGAGTAGAACTGCATAGTGAATATGTTATAAAGCCAGGGGTTAATGAACAGCCCAGCGTGTCTGATCCTCAGTCTGTCGAATGGAGTCATCAGTAACTCTGTATCCAATACCATAATTCACCCTGCTCTTGGTCCTGTGAGGGCACAGCTCAGCGCCCCTAGAGAGCTCATTACCAGAGCTGCTCACATTAGCCCTGTAGTAACCTTCCCCAACCTGGCACAACATCAGCCCGAATAAGACTTCCAAAATGGCCTCCGGACCAGCTGACGTATAACGCGGCCCTGTGAGAATGAGAAATGAAAATAAAATACTTCTCCCATGGCTTGGGAGGAAATAGGACATTTGAGTGTCGTTACACTGGGCATAAATATGCACAAATTTGTCATACATGGTTTTGATGTCACGACCATGAGAAAATTAGCATATGGCCACCCACATTTATATATAAACAAATCGGTATTCAGTATCTTGGCCAACCCAGATGATTTAAGTTTTTTTTTTTTTTTATATATATATTTTTTTTTTTTTTTTTTTTTTATTCAGCAAGGATGCAATTGATTAAAAATCAAAAGTGACAGTAAAGACATTCATAATGATACATAAGATTTTTATTTCCAATAAATGTATATATTCAACATTGATAATAATAAATGTCTCTTGAGCACCAAATCAGCATATTAGAATGATTTCTAAAATTCAGCTTTGCCATTGCAGGAATAAATATATTCAAGTAGAAAACAGCTACTTTAAACTAATAATATTTTGCCATATTACTGTTGTTTTAAGTTTTTTTTTTTTTCTTTTTTCAAAAACATGCAGCCTTGGTGAGCATAACATTGCAAAAACTTAATAACGGCAAACTTCTGAACAACAATATTATATTCTTAGAGGAAGGCCGAGCAGAATTAAATAATTAAACTAGATACCGTACTTTTAAGACTTGGTTTTAAAAATGGTCATGTAAAACAGAAATGTGAGAGCTTTTGATGAAAAAAAACCTTTACTAACACATAATTATCCTTCACATTGATAATAATAAATGTCTCTTGAGCACCAAATCAGCATATTAGAATGATTTCTAAAATTCAGCTTTGCCATTGCAGGAATAAATATATTCAAGTAGAAAACAGCTACTTTAAACTAATAATATTTTGCCTATTACGTTGTTTTTAGTTTTTTTTTTTTTTCTTTTTTCAAAAACATGCAGCCTTGGTGAGCATAACATTGCAAAAACTTAATAACGGCAAACTTCTGAACAACAATATTATATTCTTATATTCGAGCAGAATTAAATAATTAAACTAGATACCGTACTTTTAAGACATGGTTTTAAAAATGGTCATGTAAAACAGAAATGTGAGAGCTTTTGATGAAAAAAAACCTTTACTAACACATAATTATCCTTCAGGGAAAGAAATGAACTGCCACAAAAGTGTTAAAAAATTGTATACTTCATAGCTGTATTCAAGTCTCTAATGCTTTGCTAAAAAGCAAGGAATAGTGTTTTCAAATGTGGTGGTTGATGTGCTGCATATGTGAAGCTGCGGCTGCAGAGGCGGCACGTCTGCATGTAGTTGTAGTGTATCTGTATCATGGAGACAGGCATTGCATCCATCAGTGTGACAGCACTTAAGTTGCATAAGCTGCATTATTTAATACACCGCAATGTCAAAAACTGTGACTGACATGAGCAGAAGGCAGGTATGTGGAGTTTGTGCGTACATGTTATAGAGCACGTGTGTTGCTGAGATAGGTTAGCTAAAGTCGAAATATTTATAACTAGCTACCTGAATAATAACAGCTAGTTGAATGGCACTACCTCCCCCTCGAGTATTGAGATACACTGGCAGCCAAAGGTTTGGAATAGTTACATGTATTTACATGTTTTTTAATAAATTACATTTTAAAATATATTAAAATAGAAAACAGGTATTTTAAATTGTAATAATATTTCACAATATTACTTTTTACTGTATTTTTGATCAAATAAATGCAGGCTTGGTGAGCATAAGAGACATCTTTCAGAAACACTAAAATATATTTTATTTTAAACTTTTGTCCTCCACTGTTGTTACTGCACATACAGATATTTGACGTGTTTGCATTTATGTTTGTGTACTTGAGTTGAGTATGTTTCTGCCCTAATGTGTGATAGATTGCTAATTGTACTTCCTCTGTGTGTGTGTGTGTGTGTGTGTGTGTGTGTGTGTGTGTGTGTGTGTATATGTATATGTATATGTATATGTGTTTGTTCAGTGCATGGAGGTTGGAGCGAGTGGAGTAAGTGGTCGCCATGCGGAGCCGACTGCACCATGTGGAGGAGCAGGGAATGTACCCAACCTACACCCAGCACCGGTGGGAAGGACTGCCAGGGCCTGGATCTTCAATCCCTCAACTGCACTAGTGAGCAGTGCCCACAGAGTGAGTACCACCATCTCTGTCCCTTGATTAATCAATCGATTAAAACACAGGCTTCCTTCATTGATCAGTAAATGTGATGTGAAGCCTGGGATGCATCAGTGAGAGTCCCATTAACTAGCAGACAACGGGAGGGAAGAATCTGGGAAGGGCACCTTGGAGGTCTACATTAACGCACTTTGCTTAGTTTTTCAGGGAGGGTTTGTGTATCGTTGGGTCGTGTTTTTTGCAGGAAGGTCACTTTTCCAGATCAGAGATTCTTGAGTTGTCAAAGGTCTTGATGTCCCCTGGGTTACGTTCCCTCTGTTTATTTTCCAGCTTTTCTTTCCGCACACAACCTTTCCTGTTCCTGTTGTTCGTCTGTTCTTTTTATGATTTTAAACCTCTCAGTCCTGCAGCCGCTGTTGCCATAGTACCACAGCAGCACTGAAATGGGCGTCCTCTGGAGCAGCAGTGTTATTGCCGTTCTTCTGATGATTGTTTTTGATATCAGAGCTTCTGGTGGCCGTTATCAACTGTTTGTGCGAGAAACGATTGGTTCAAACAAATGCCAGAGGGCAGACTGTGGAGAAGTCACAGCTTTGTGTGATTTCAGTTTTGTGTGGGGCAGAAGAGCTTCTAGAGCATATGGTTTAATGTGCTTTCACAGCTCTACATTCTTTATGTGCTAAAAGTGTTGCAACTAGAAAAATCCTACTTGAAATATGACTTTTAAATCTTGAATAGTTTGTGTTGACCAGAAAGTTTAAAATGCTAGAATTGGAATGAATTTATTTGTTTGTGTACTATAATGCATCACCAGAAGTTTAGGGTTGGTAAGATTTTATGTTTTTCTCTTATGCTCACAAAGGCTGGATTTAAATGAAAATTAAGTATAAAAGCATATAGTATACAAAAACATGATTCATCAGAAATCATTCTAATATGCTTATTTGCTGCTCAAAAACATTTCTTATTATTAATGTTAAAAAAAAACAACTTCTGTGCTGCTTAATATTCTTGTGGAAACATGATACTTTGAAAACCATGATTCTTTGATCAATGTAAAAGTTTAAAAATCACAGCATTTATTTAAAAAATTAAGAATTTGTAAAATTTGTAAAAAAAAAAAAAAAAATTCATTTTTCTTGGGTTGGTAGCAGTCAATTCCTGCAAAAGATTGTGGAAATCTATTTTGTTTTATTATACATCATATATATATATATATATATATATATATATATATATATATATATACACACACATACATACATAAATAATGTTACAAGTGCAAATAAATGGTGATATAGTTCGGCAACATTCTCTGCGGCTTGGATAGTGATAAACAGGTTGAGTTCATTTTAGTACATCTTTCTTCTTCTTACCTATGATATTTAAATATTCCTAGAAGTTGTACGGTACTGTATAAAAATTGATTCAGTGTGAACTTGCAAAAACCACTTTTGAATCAAATAAAAAAAATTTGAATTAATTTCTTTGAACAAAATAATGTAGCACCCTCCTCTGGCCATGCAAAGAATGCAACTCTCATGTGCTTTAACACATTAACAATTGTGTTCATAGTCAAACAAGCTTGTGCAACTTGAAGTGTTTGCACTGACTTACTTATATGCCTATATTTTGGCCATATCACAGTTGAATTATTCACCCTGTCTGTCATCCAAAGCGCTTTGTGTGATATCAGCTGTGAAGAACCGCAGTTTAAAGGCCTCCCATAGAGACAGCAGAACAGAAAAAGCTGCACTTTTAATGTCTCGCCCTGTAATTTACCCACTGGTTATCATGAAATGTGGTGAGCTGAACACTTGTTCTTTATTAACAGTTAATTTGGGGCTGTTTCACTCCCAGCAGAAATCAGGGACTCGTCTCGGCAACATGCTTCACGTGCTATTCTGTTTAATCTCGCTACGGCCATGACTGTTGCTGATACGGATCATCAACAGAAAGAGACAGAGATAAAGAGAGGCAGAGTGTGAGCAAACACTCCCATTAGTATGTGCAGAAGTAGAGGTCAAGGGTAAAGAGTTTGTATTCCCCATGCTGCGAGTCGATACAGTTCTAGAAACCTTAGCTTTTCTACTAAGGGCCACATGGAGGCATGTCCAATCATAGCATCATCTCAAACCACCCCAGCATATTTGCAGCATTGAGATTTTGCAATATTGAATATTGCAACCTGCCAGCCGAGCCCAAGGCCTAGTTATTATCATTAGATGTTTACGTTTCTCTGTTCTGGGAGGTTGCTCTGCTGTCGGGATGTTATTAATTGGCCCATGTTGCTCAAATTAAAAGCACAGAAGCTGGTACGATAGCAGCCATGGAGCAATTTGCTCAACTGGGGGTCTGGCCAAGCAGATGGGCATCATAGTGTTGTATTCACATCCTCTTGGATTAAAGTGTCAGGATTGGCGTTTTATTTTGGGCTGTTCTGCACTGTTAACATACAGTAGTCCCCCTCCAGGAAGTTCTCTTTTTTTGCGCTGGAGTCAAAGGGGAGCCAGACGAGTCATTCCACTCATTCTTTAGGTTTTTGCACATTTCAGATTTTAATGTGAGCCCTCCCACACGTCATTTACACATGGTTGTACTATCTCAAACTCTTTAAAGCCCACACTTATATAGGCAAACATCCTTTAAAATTGGAATGCAGGCCGCAGAAAAATTCTTGTCCCAATCTGTTCTCAGCAGATGTCTCTCGCCAGACAATAGACCTGTTTTATACAGTAATGAGCAGAAAATCCTGCCTGCTTTGGCTACTCTGCTGCACAGGAAATGTTTTTTTTTTCCCTTCCTCTGAGGCTTTAATTAGTTGTTAGTGGAAACTCTTGTTGAAATAAAAGTAGCATTTAGTGTCCTCGTAATTCAAGGTGGAGATTAGCCCTTGAGCACCTGCTATGGGTTAAATGCAAGTTAAAAAGCATAGAAATCCAAAGCAACTGAGTGGTTTGAAGAGCATCAGAATAACTGTTCACTCTGTACTGTGGATGTGGTCGAGGAGGACAGGTTGATACTCGTGCTTCCATCATGCACGTGCCATAAATAGAATCAATGTTTTTGTTAAATATGACGTGTTTCTAAATCAGCAGTGTTTGTCACGTTGGTGCTAGAAAAGATATTCCCATCAAAAGCAATTAGCTTTTCAAACAGTGCTTGAGTTATTTTTACCAGGGTTGTGTGAGAATGAAAATATTTATATTCGACGTATCTGTTGCGGCAGAGATTTTAATAATAAATATTATATTATAATGTATAAAAATATATAATACATTGACCTCATAACAATGACTTCATAATAACATTATGGTAATAACAGTATTCAATATTAATAAATAGTTCTATTTTTATATCTTATATCATTTTTTCTAACCATATGTATACACAATACTGACTTTTATATTTTATGCAATTGTCTTTTTATTTTTTATATTTAAAAAATATTAAATACCAATAAATAGTTATATTTGTATATCATAAATACATTTTTACAAGTCATTTATTTATATAATACAAGTATACCAATGTATTTCTAGTGAAAATAAAGTTGCATAATTTATTTTAAGATTTCTAAAGACAATAATATACAAGGGTGTTGATTCAAAATCACGGCCACCAAATAGAATTTTATTAGAGGTGTCTATTCTTTGATTTTTACAAATCAGTGGATAACTACAGTGCAGATGCGGCATAACGCCTCTCATAACCTCCATTCATCTAGTCAGGATAATTAACAGTTTGGTGCATAACCACCTGGTGAAATTACACCCAGGTGTTGCTGGGAAAAAAAGTGATGATGGGAAGGAAAAGTCATGTTGCTAAATTAATGCAGCCTGCACTGATAATCAGGCTAATTTGTGGAATAAAGTAAATAAAGACATTTAAAAGCACTTTGTTTTTAGCCATTTAGCAATAGTGGAAATAACATTGTAACCTTTGAGTGCAAATCTACACTTTGTCTTTCATACGAGACTAATGATGAGCAAATATACAACAGACAGATAATTAAATTTAGCGTTTTTATTTCCAACATGCGCTCATTCATGGCTTTATTGTAAAATGCTTAAATATCGGGAAAAATATTGGTAAATCGATATATCGGTCGATCTCTATAAATAACCACAAATAACAGTATCGGTTTTGCAACCAATATCTACCTTTCCATGATAAATGCTTCCTGATAACACCACATGCTAGTGTTTTATCAATAGCACAACACAGACAGAGACCCAGCATCAACTTCAACACTAGATCTTCCTGACAGAATCACTACCGTCTCTTACAATTTCGTTGTTACAAGTCTGAACCTGTTTCTGTCAGCCATGATAGGAGAATTGCAGGTTGTTGGCTGTATCCCACCGTGAGAGGAGGGGAGGCATTCTCTGAGATTTACCCACAGGCGGAGTTTGGTCCCCTCAGGCCAGGCCTGACGCCCCGCTGTTAGACAGCACAAGATGTTCGGAGCCCACTCTGTTACACCTCCAGAAACCTGTTATTCTCTCTCTCCCTCCCTCTCTCTCTCTCTCCCTCTCTCTCTCTCTCTCTCTCTCTACCTCTCTCTCTCTCTACCTCTACCAGAAACTGCATTTCATGATTCAGTGGAGAGTAAATTTGCTTCCACTCTGGAGGGTTTTACAGATTTACAGACTCTTCAGCCTATTAATCTTCTTTTTTTTTCATGGTATTTTCAGCACCTGGAGCACACATGCTACAGGCACAAACCCAGCCCCCATCATCTCGCGGTGCAACGACTGTCAGTTTATGATATTGTAAGCCCTCTTAAACCATGACAAAGTCACTTCCCACAGACATACTTAATGCATCGTCGATACAGAGACGCAGGAGTGATTCCTGTTTGCATGCGCTCAGTCATTCATGATTGACCAGCTGTCATGAAACAAGGCCTGATGTAATACCACTTCCTGGAGCTCGGCCACCCTCCTGCTTGCACGGTATCATGTCGTATTGACAGAGTCATCAGTCAAACGTGTTCAACAAAACATGTCAAGACATGTTGCCGATGACCCCTGAGCGGCATTAGCGATACTTTGTTGTCACGTCAGGATAATGGAGCTATATTTGGATGAAATTAACTGTACCAGGCACCTGTAGTCCTGAGAACTGTAGATTGTCTTAAGTAACAACTCCGCTGATAGCAATGAGGGTGTTTATTGCGACTCTGGTGATTAAGAGTGTGATGAACAATTAGAAGACAGCTTAATTAGAGTGACGCAGACTTGCATAATGGTAATTGACAGCCCTGTTTTAATTGTCTGTGTGATTTTGGGCTTGGGGATGATTCTAATGTAATCACTTCCTTTGATGATCTCACTCTCGTTTAGTCCAAACAAACCAAGCAGAGAGTCTCAGGATGTTAGTGTGATCGTGAAAGTGAGTCAAAATTCCTGTGCAGTTTTGTTCACACTAATGAAAAGGAAATAAAAGGCTAATTAAGGGCTAAAAAAATAAGTGTTTCAAAAGTAAATTGTAACTTTAAATTAAACACAACAATATAAACAAGAATGAGTTTACAAACTAACACACAATTTGTAATGTAGAACTTCTGTCCCATATAGATTTGGTAGATAGATAGATGATAGCTAGATAGATAGATAGATAGATTTGTATTATATATTTATATAGATATGTATTACTTGTTTAAGATGCATTATTTACTCTATTTATAAAGCACTTTTCCCCACATCCCCAAAAAGAGGTTTTGTCAGATATAATTTGTCAGCAATTTCTCCCTGAAGTTTTTTGACTGTTAAAGACATGCACATTTATTCTTGTTTTGGCCTTCTGTTGACCCCACTTTGTGTGAGGAGACTATGATGCAGGACGTAATGCTCAGTGATATGGCTACTTTACTTCTCTTGAAACCAAATTACTCTGATTTCATATTGCATTGCTGTATTAACAGAAAGATAATTAAAGTAACGTAAACAAAGTTCCAAGTGCAAGTAGCTGTAACTTAATGAAACCTGGTAAGTATAACAACTAAGTAAAGATTACTTATTAAATCTAAGTAAGGTAAACTATTGGATTTTACAGTGTATGCACAGCTGTGACTCTACCCCTGAATTCAGGAGCTTTGGCTGAGCGATTCCTCATAGATTTTAGCTGTCAGTCCATGGAGCATTTAAATAGGCCTGAATACGCCTCTGCAGTCTCTCGTCACAATGCAGAGCCACTGGGTCTCTCCACACCTCTACCACCCAACAAATCAGCATGCCACAGAGACAACCCTCACAAATCTCATTTCCCACCGACACAATTGATTAGAATAATTTTGGATGTGATTGTCTCTGGGTACTTAGCCATAAAGCTGCAGGCCACAACGAGAGAGGGCACATGAAATGATGTGGATTCATAAGGAAATCTGCTTTGTGTCAGAAACACACACTCTCACTCCCTGTCTCTCTCCCTCTTTTTGGAAGGAAGTGTCTTTCAAAATCACAGCCATAAATTCAGCAGCTTGAAGAATGCTGATGTAGCAGGCTGCCAGCAAACACTCCCGTCTTTCCAACTGCAGAACAACCCACTGAAGCACAGATATGATTACCTTTTTAAGGAGGCAGCAGTTGGGAAGCTGCATATCTACTGAAATGTTTTCCCAGCAGTTAATTCCCTTACACACAATGCAAGCCAAGTCAGGTTTAGGTAATTCTGTTTGATAATAATTTTATGTTTGGAGAAAAAAAAAAAACACTGGCATCTGGCAAAATTTGGTTAACATCAGATTACAAAGTAATACACGAGAAGAACAGGTATTTCATTCTAAAATTGACATTGATTATCACTTTACGCAGTTTTAAACCATCTATTCAGGCAAATGTTTGGAGTTGAATACTGCATGCATTGCACAGTATGCAGTGCTATTTTCTTTAATGTGAAACCGTACACATTACATATTTTAAATAGTTATATACTGACCTCATTGACCTCTTTGAGTTGTATGCTTAATTCAGTGTATCATCCCAGATTTTTTTTTTTCCTCTAAATGTCTTATAAAAGTCAAGAAGGTATTTTATGCAGTGTTGTCTTTTGTTTACTGCACATTTTGGCAATTACAGTGGGCTATACAGGAAGTTAATACTTTTATTAAGCAAGGACAGATTAAATTGATCAAAGTGACAGGAAAGACATTTATAATGTTACATGAGATTTCTACTAAATGCTGTTCTTTTGAACTTTCTGTTCATCAAATAATCCTGAAAAAAAAATGAAAAAAAATCACTGTTTCCACAAAACTTTTAAGCAGCACAATTGTTTTAAAAAATTGAGGATAATAAATTATTCTTTAGCACAAAATCAGCATATTAGAATGATTTCTGAAGGATCATGTGACACTGGAGTAATGTATTTAGCATTACGTAACACAATTATATTAATGTTTTTAATAAAAATCATTAATTAAAAATGTATTTGAAAGTATTACAGAGAGAAGCTAGAACCTTTTTTATTTCTCTGCTTTAACCAATAGAATTGCTGATATTATAAATATTATGAATGTAAACCAGATCTACAATCTGTGCTAGATCTACAATCCAGAAGTTGACCTTTGCTGCAACTCATTGCTGACAAATAAAAATGCTAATATTGACAATATGGTAACCAATATTTTGTGTGGCTATTACTGACACATATGTCTCTTTTTCTGTCTCTGCGTAGCGGCATCAGGTGCTGAGGATGTGGCCTTGTACGTGGGGATCGTGGCGGTGGCTCTTTGTCTGACTCTGCTGCTGATTGTACTGGTGTTGGTCTACCGCAGAAAGAAGGAAGGTCTCGATGCAGATGTGGCCGACTCCTCCATCCTCACCACTGGCTTCCAGCCCATGGGCATCAAGCCCACCAAGCCAGGTGTGTGGGCACCGCGCAGGGCAGCCCACAGCAGTAGGCTATTGTTTCTCTACGCTATCCACCCCTCGTCACGGTGTTTCACACCCATCCTTTCATCCCAGTGCCCGTGTTCCTGTGCCACCTGTGGCCATGGCAATTCATAGTCTCGCAATTATGTCCGTGTATGTGCGGTGTTTGCGTTAAATGGAGGTAGTCATAATTTTGTGTGTCATCTTCACAGTTGCAAATGAATGTGGTGGTTTTACTTAGAGGAGACCTTTACTCATCCGCCTGCTACCATGGGAAGTGATTTGGTAATAGTAGCATTAAGCTGATTTCCATTGATCTTCCCACGAAACAAATCTGCCTACTGCTGTACATTTTTATTTTTACATATGTAAAGTGTTTAACATGGGAAAAAAAACAAGAACATTTCTGAAATCACAAAATATAGAGTTAGATTCTGGGGATTTGAACCTGAATAAAGCCACACAGAAAGCTTTATTTAAAGTGTAAAACATGTAAACCGTGACTGGCAGGCTTTCTTTAAACTCTGAATGGAATTGATTGTGGCTGCTAAAAAGGAGGAGGCATTGATTTATTTACTAGTCAGTCTCTCTCAGCACCGAAGGCCCGGCTACATCCATGGATTTGTGCATTTGCACTGAATTTCAATTTGTGTTGAGCACTTTTAACCACTGTGACCTTTCAGAGTGTTTTTTTTCACTTGTTTCTTTCTCTCTGTTTCTACAGAAAACTCTCATTTGCTCACCATCCAACCCGATTTGACTACCACCACCACAAGCTACCAGGGAACTCTGCGTTCTCGCCACGAAGTCACTGGGAAGTTCTCCGTGAGCAACGGTCCCCTCCTGGAGCCACTTCCTAACGGCTCCCACATGCTGCACAACGGCAAACTGCTTAGTGATCCCAATGACTTCATGAACAGCCTGTCCTCTCAGACGTATTTCAAAACGCTACCGAGAGACGACGTCAACACCTCCTACGGCACTTTCAATTTCCTGGGTGGCCGCCTAACCCTCCCCAACACTGGTAAGATTATATGACTGCAAACAGTACAAAATGTTTTATGTGTTTAGTCAGGAGTGTTGTGAAAGAGCTCTGTAGCTTTGTTAAACTGCAACGTTATTATACCGACATGGCCCAAAATGGAAGGGTGAAGTGATCCAATTACACGGTAATCCACGCAGTTTTATGTAAAACGGGACAGTAGCGAATGCGAACACCTTATAAAGATGTTTTTATAAAACGGGCAAAGAAGTGCTTCCATTTATATACTAATGATTGTGTTATGACAATGACGACCATTTTCCTTTTTCAACGAAAATAGCTGTAATTGGGGAATGTCTTGTTTTATTTTCCCATTCTTTTTTTCGAAGGATACCTCACTGCATCTTCTTCGAGCTGAGCCAGTGACTTGGTTGTCAGTCGTGGCACTGTAAGCCGATATGCAGTGTGCACATTCATAGTGTCTGCAACTCTATCCACTCCAAGGACACCACCAGAGTATATTCAAACCAATTAGTCTCCTTAATCACAGACAGAGGGTTCATCACGCTGTCACATTATGAATCACTCGCGGTCAAAGAGACAGCTCACGAGGCAGTGGAAATGAAATAACCAGGACTCCCTCGACTAAGAACATTGCCCTTCAAAATATAATGCCTGCTACCTGTTATCCGTGACAGATTTGAGGATGTTTTATGGCTTATGCTACTTTTATGCGTTCATCTTACGATTATTTTAAACAAGTTACAAGGCCAAGTTTAATGTGTAAAGTTAGGGGTTGACTAATTATTTAATTATGTAATAATCATAATAGCATATAATAATATATTATAATATTTTATTTTTTATTATTTTTTATTTAATATTATCAAATCTTTTGTGTCATCTTCACAGTTACAAGTGGCCCAGAGTTTATTTTATTTTATTTTATTTTATTTTATTTTTTGAAAAATACATTTGAGTTTATTTAAATTTAAATGAATTATCATAGACCAGTGATCCTCAAATCTGGCTCGCGAGAAGATGATTAGAAGTTTGTGAACAATGATCTGCACAGCTATTTGTCTATGTCAGTGATCCTCAAATCTGGCTCGCGAGATCCACTTTCCTGCAGAGTTTAGCTCCAACCCTAATCAAACAAACCTACCTGTGATTTTCTAATGATCCTGAAGACATTGATTAGCAAACTCAGGTGTGTTTGATTAGGGTTAGAGCTAAACTCTGCAGGAAAGTGGATCTCGCGAGCCAGATTTGAGTATCACTGTCATAGACTATTCTATGATTATATTTATGATTTCTTACGTTTACAAGGTAACTTGTAAAAAAAAAACTTTTCTGAAAGTTACATTTACAATAGATTTTCTGAAAGTACACATTGTTTAGTTTCATAACCAGCACATTAACTTCTGAAACAATAAGCTTTGATTGTTTGGCTATTTACTGACAAGACAGAGACTGAGACAGAGAATTTATACATAGTAGATGACATCTTTGACCTTGACCTTGGATTTGTATAGTGTTAATCACATTTACTTTTGTCACATAAAGGCCCGCTATGAGCTGTGACAAAAGCAGCATTCAGATGGAACAAATGAGCCTACCTTGTCTCTTTTGTTCCTATTTACATTAGGAATCAGCCTTCTCATCCCGCCAGAGGCCATTCCCAGAGGGAAGATTTATGAGATTTATCTCACCATTCAGAAGAAGGAAGACATGAGGTAGGTCCCTGGAACCAATCTGAGGATCTGCCTCACAAAGAAAAGATGCACAGTTTGAATCAGAATTTAAAAAAGGCCAGGCACAGAGCGTCGAACGTAATTGAAGTCAGTCTCCACATGCTCGTGTGCATGATTGTGTGTGTGTGTGTGTGTGTGTGTGTGTGAGAGAGAGCCGTTTGCTCAGATTTATGACTAATGCTGACTTGAGATATCAAAAGCTTGTGTGTATGTGGTGTGTCTTGTCTGTTATATGTAAATGAGCCATGGGCCACAGAGACGGAAATATTCTCCTGTTTTAGATTTTCCTGACGGGAGTGAAGCACCAGGTAACGGTCAGGCTATTTTTTCTCGTACAGTCATGCATTGTTTACGACCGGCTCCCTACTAGCCTTGAATGCAGAGTGTGAAAAGTCCGATCAGAGCACCAGAGCCCTGATTAATAGTGGAACCTCATCTTGTTAAAGGGTCTGCTCTGGGCTTGACATTGGCCATCCATCCAGACCCCTTTGGTTGAATCCTGACCATTGTGCTCCCCCACTGCCTCCCTCTAGATTGCCCCTGGCTGGGTGTCAGACATTGCTAAGCCCCGTGGTGAGCTGCGGACCGCCCGGTGTGGTGCTCACCCGGCCGGTCATCCTCAGTATGGACCATTGCTCTGATGCGTGCCTGGAGAATTGGGCCATCCGTCTCAAGAAGCAGTCATATGAGGGAACGTGGGAGGTGAGTGTTTGGTTGCATCTGTGTGCATTTACGTCCAGATATATGTATGTATGTATATATATATATATATAAAGAATTATTATATTTATATAATATGTATATGAATATATTTTTAAAAATGAATACACACACACATATATATATATACATTTAATAACATACAGTTTAAATTATACAATACTAAACTATAGATATTTATATATTAATATCCATTATTTTAAAGGTTTTAAATATGTTTTTCTTTTTTTTCTTTTCTTTTTAATATTTTTGAAAATTGCTATTAAAATCCGCTTTCTTCAAAAATCTGAATGGCCTCAATACATGTAAAATTGCATGTAAGGTATTTATTTAATATTATTTACATAAATGTATTTAATAAACAAAAATACTACTGTCGTTTTCACTTGAAAGCCCGACAAATGTAATTGACAAATTTGCTTCTTTTACTGTAATTACTTTTCTATAAATTGCTTTACAGTAGACTACTGAGAATTGGAGTGTGGGAGAGAAAATGTACATTAATATACATGAATATAATATGCAAAAATAAATAATAATCTTTCAAAAAAAATTTTGAAAATAGGCATCATTGTCTTTATGCAAAATATAGTTTTAATTTATTTTGTTTGATTTTGGGGTGAACATTTCTTGAAAGTTTTTGTCAGATTTACCTACTTGAGTACAAGTTTCTCCTGTGAAGCCAATGGTGACACCATGTGTTACGAGAATAAATTCCATCTGCCCAATTTATCATCAGCATGGTGATAAATAAAAATTATGTTCTATACAGTTGCGCCTAATTTTAATTAGCGTTGAACTGTATGTAGGTGGAATTCTGTACATTCACCTTTCTTGCCCTTTCCCATCTCTTTCTCTCTCATTGTCCTGCTACTGAATTAAATATCTTATGGAAGCAAATGGGCTGTATCGTCATAATCATTTCAAATAGCCTCTCAGACAATAAAGCCCTGAAGTGTCTCCGTCAGTGTACTCCTCATTTCACCTATCTCTCATACCTTCACATTTAATCTCCATTTAATTGTATGGATCTTTTCCTCATTCCATCCGATGGCCATCAGCACCCACCTTTAAACTGAGCCGGGGTGAGTCCTTCATTACGCCTGATGGCTTTTCCAAATCTGCTTTGAACCGCATCGGGTCGGTGCGAGATACATCAGGCACAAAGACAAGGAAGAGGAGGAACCTAGGGAGGAAGGGCGGAGGAAGAGAGTGAAGGTCTTCTTTCATGTTTGATACTGTGCATAAATTATTCAGGCTCCTTGGTGTGGCAGCAATGGGGCGGCAGTAGCATGAATAGGCCTGTCTTAGATAGAGGGTAGAGCTGCACTTTTAATCATCCCCTGCCCCAAATATAGCCCATCGGTGGCAGGTCGCCGTTCTTGGCCAGGTACAGCAGACGAAAGAGAAAAAACACAAGGAAGTTTGTCCTGGAAGGAGCCTTGGCAGACAGACTCGCGGCAATTAATTTCTCCAGAGGACGCAGATCAGCAAAACGTGAGCAGAAGAGAATGAAATATAGTCTGTGTCGTTATCGAACCGTGGGATGATTTTTTTTCTGAGTCATTAAAAAAAAAAAGATCATGAAAAAAAGTAAGTCTTCATTGTGGTCAAATGGAAAACGGCTAGTGCCAATACTAATTTCACTGATGAAGATAGTGGCTTATTTTATTGATTGCTGGATGTAATTTCCTGGCCTGGATCCCGAGGTGAAAGACAGTGGGGCCGCCTCTCTGTATTTGATTAGATAATGGTGTGAGCGAGAGAAAAAGAGAGACGGTGTGCGAGGAATCTTTCTCATGAGCTTCCTGCAGAAGCTTCTGTCGCCACATATCCCACTTGCCTTTTCTCTAATTAAAGCCACTCTGGGGAACCATTATGTGATTGTATCTGGCCGAAGACTGTGAGAAAACGACATGTTTCCTTACAATAACCTTGGCCTTTGCTAGAGTCACGTTTTCTGACATAATGCCTTTTCTGATTTTAATACATTTTTCTTTGCATTAGCCTATAGGACAACTTGAAGGCATCTCTGATGTCTGTCAGGATTCTTACATCCAATTAAAGTAATTATCTTGCCATGCCCTGGCAAGCTCCATATTGCACATTGCAACCTGTTAATTAGTTTATTCTCCTGGTTATTAGTAGAGAAGCAGCTCAAACTGTCAAACTCACTAATTGATTAACACAAAACAGTGGGGTGCAAAATGCCGTAGGATTGGTTATGGCTTTGCAACGGATAAAGTAATGAATATGGAAAAAATCATTAATGGTCATACTAAGTGATTTGAAAATTTGAAACTATTTTGAACAAACCCCTAACCTTAAGTGTGAACCATCCCGTACTGAACATGAAAAATACTTTAAATAATGTAGCTTTTTGAGGAGGTTTTTTATTTGATTTTTTAACTCTAACTAAAAAATAATCACAGTTTCTACTAAAATATAAGTATAAATATAAGTACAACTGTTGTCAACATTGATGATAATAATAATAATAAACATTTCTTAAGTACCAAAGCAACATACAGTACTAGGATGATTTCTGAAGGATCACGTGAGACTAAAGACTAAAAAAGAAATATTAAAATGTTAAAAGAAAAATTAAAAGTTATTTTAAATTGTAATAATATTTCACAATATTCATGTTTGATGTATTTTTGATCCCATAAAAGACATGAGACATTTTTTTTTAATCCTACCGATACCAAACTTTTGAATGATATTGTACACTGAAGAAGCAACCAAAGACATATCTAGGGATCAGAATATCACAGGAACCTGAGCCTGTAAAGCTGCCTAAAAAACACAAAGAGACACTTACAGTTCAGAAATAATGAAATAAATGCATAAAATGTGTGTGTTCGTACATTTATTGATTCATTCAATCAATTTTATTTTTATTAATTTAAATGTATTTTAATTGTTCATTTTCTGGTATTTAACTTATTGGTATTTTCATATAAGAAGCAAATCTGAGCTGTAGAAATTTCACACCATTTATTCCCAGAGAAAGGGAAGCTCTGATCACTTAATGGGCACTACCATGTGTGAGCATTCAGGATGAACTCCTGCTATTAGTGTCTCATTAGAGCACAGAACACAGCTCATTATGCAGATCTTTCCGTTTCTGCTCAGCCAGATCACTTCACTGTATCTAAAATCTGACACCGAACATCCCCAGGGCAGGAGCTGACCATCTCTCCAATAACTCCACTGACACAGCTGCTCTCTGCCCTCCCCTCTGATCCCTGTGTCATTGTCTCATTGGCTCCTCAGGATGTACTTCATCTTGGTGAGGAAGTGGTTTCGGAGCCGTACTACTGCCAGCTGGAGGCGGAGACGTGCCAGGTGTACACTGAGCAGCTGGGCCGCTTTGCTCTGGTCGGGGAGTCCCTCAGCATGGCTGCAGCTAAACGCCTAAAACTGCTGCTCTTTGCTCCCGCCTACTGCTCTACGCTGGAGTACAACATCCGCGTCTACTGCATGGATGACACACAGGACCTGCTAAAGGTGAGGCCTTTAAGATTCAAAATTTACAGTACCTGTACTTATGACAAAACCCAACTAACAAAAATATGTTGTAAGAAAGTTTCGCTAATGTTCCCATTAAGTTATGAAAATGTCCAGCTTTTCTCGGTTATGCATTAACGTTAAGGAAACATTCTATTTTATCATTTTGCAAACATTATGGGAATGTTACTATTAGATGTTCTATGAGCATTTGGAAGCAAGTAGTTATATTTGAAAAATGTTAAGCGAATGTCAAACTAAAAAGTTTCAGGGGAAAAAACGATCCATGAAAGATGTATAAATTAATTATTTGTGCTAACATTTTAAGAACATGATTAAAGACCAGATAACTTTGAACAAACATTTCCATTAATATTACTGGAAGAATGTTTGTTCCTTGCCAGAACATTCTGAGAACATTTACCTAATTTTGTCTTCTCTCTCTCTCTCTCTCAATCCCAGTCCTCTTGAACCCTGCTGAAAAGACAGACTTAAACCAGTGTGATAGGAATAGTTCACCCAATTTACTCATTTACTTACTCTCATGTTGTTGCGGATTTTTTTTTCCCTTTCTTTTGTGGAACACCAAAGGAGAAAATTAAGGCTGATTTATACTTCTGCGTCAGACCTACGCCGTAGCCTTTACGCCGTAGGCTATGCGTCAGTTTTCATTTATACTTCTGTGTCGTTGTCCGCGTCAACGTGCAGTACACATGCAAACCGCTAGTCAGCAGTGTCCACGGGCATGTTGCTGGTGTAACCCGCAGTACCACGGCAAATGCCGAAGAAGAAGCGGCTCGTCGGAGAAGCATTATAGCCGCGTAAGCTACGGCGTAGGTCCGACGCAGAAGTATAAATCAGCCTTTAGAGGACGATTTCAATGTCAATTTAATGTTTTCATGGAAAAGAGCATGAAAAGAGTCTTTAAATGTTTTGTTTTATGTGAAAGAAAAAGTCATTTGTGCTCAGAACAATTTGACTGTGAACAAATGATAACAGAATTTTCATTGTTGGGTGAACTGTCCATTTAATTGCCAGTTGACCAAAGATGTCTTGCTGTTTAAGCAAAAATAAAAACAAAAATAAAATGCTGGTCACCAGCCATGCATTTTTATTTTTTCACTTTTCTTTTTCTTTTTATTTCTTTTTCATCAGACAATCACATTTTTTCAGTTCCTTCTGGCTTACAAATTTTTTGTGCTCCCCCTCCTAAGAGATCAGGAATAATCAAGAGCTAATGCCAAAGCAGCCTCCCTCGAGGAGCACGTCTGAGCAGACTGTTAAGATTTAATTTGCATGCCTAATTAGTAAATGAAAAGGAGAGACTCTCTGGCCGTGGCCCCTGAGCTCCTCTCGGCTCTCACTGTCAAAGTAAGAGGGTCCGTTCCCTGCTCTGCCCACTCCAGCCTCTGAGAGCCTGCCAGCAAAGATGACCTGCCCTACCCAAAGCTGCCCGCTGGGCCCCACTAGGGTGGGCTGTTGGGGGAAAGAGATTACGAAAGAGATGCCAGGATTTTGACCGGTTTGTTTAAAATGAGCTCTTAGCCATGCAGAGATGAGAAGTGCTCTAGTGCATGATGGATGTGAGTACCTCCCCTCCAATTCTCTCCAAAGGGTTCATGAGAACGCTGACTGTTCTGTCGTTTTAAAGTGAAGTGTTGATTTGTTGGACCCCCCAAAAAAGCCCTGTTTATTTTTTATTTTACAGCAGTTGCTGTTATTTAGTGATTGAAGATGTGGAAGTGTGGTGTGCTTTTATCTATAGCCAGGGTGTTGAGCTGCTAATATAGATGCTTTTTAAACCCATGACCTCCTTTCATACTAACCTTGCCTTTGATCAGGAGTGGGCCGCTCCAGGGGAACCTTCATATGTGGACAGAATCAGTCATGCAATGCTCTTGTGTGGTGCTGCTTTCTATGAATCCACCCTATCTGCATTTTTCACTCCCCTCAAATGCATAGACTGCTGCGGTGAGCCACAATGACCTCATAGGAAATGCATTTTTTTTTTACACTTTAGTGGGGAGTCGAGTGGACTGTATGCTGATATTTGTCAGTATGAAAAAGGAGAGTTTTTTTTCCTAAGGCCAGAAACATAGTCTATGCAAGTACGTGCATGCGATTGCTTCTGCAAAATGTACATTTTTAAATCTGTAAAAATGCCTATTCTGGTCTGTACTTCTGAAGAATCTAGGTGTTTTGAATAGCAGCCCAAATGAATATTTATGTTGAATTCTTTATAAAACATTAGATTTTTGAGTTGCTTTGAATAAAATCATTTGCTAAATGAATTAATGTAAAAACATTTTTCTAGTTTTGCTAAAACTATAACTATAAAGTTTTAAAAATTAAAATTCTATGAGAATAGGAAAGTCCACACTACAACTATAATAATAACGACACAGAAGAACGGTATCGTTGGAATCACTCTCAGAATGATCTCCAGCTGATGAACGATAACACCATGGACAGTCAATCAGAATCACGTTTATAGAGTTTGAGCCTTGAAAACAGCAAACCACAACTGTGCACAAGCTTATAATGAGCAGAACATTATTGTCCGTTGATATGGACACTAATATAGTTATCGTTATAGTTACACTCTAAAAAATGCTGGGTTGTTTCAACCCAACTTTGGGTCAAATATGGACTAATCCAACTTTTGGGTTAAAATTTTAATTAAAAAATTTAACCCAACAGCTGGGTTAGTCCATATTTGACCCAAAGTTGGGTTGAAACAACCCAGCATTTTTTAGAGTGTACCATTCTTCGTGTGAACAGCCTTTAAACTTGAGAGCTAGTGATCAAATAATTTATTTGAGTCTGTTCATTTTGATGAATCAGTTCTTTGGCAAATCGTTCTGAATCAATGATTTATGAAACCATGAACAACTGGAATAGTTATGAACAAATCATGTTAATCATTGATCAAAAAGTTTGGGACCCTGCTTCTTGATACACCAGCACAATTTCATGTGTCATTATATTCCAACATGTTTTAAACCATTACTCATTGCACATTGCATTCTTAGCTCTGTTGCAATGGTCACTATATTGGACATTAGCGTGAAAGGTCTATGGTCAGTTTTCTCTTTCAAATTAACTGCTGTTATTAATAAGCGTTTTTTATTTGTACCGCCACATTGATGCAAAAATACACGTAAAGTAATGTGTACGTCTTGCAATGCATTGGCCAAGCATTTGTGAGCTCATGTACAGCATGTTTGTGGTCTAACAGGTTTTTCACCTCTGAGAACCACATCTGAGTCCCTGATTGACTTTACTTCAAAGATGTGAGGCTGATTTATTGTGATGGAATTATTATGCTAATCGTTGCTGATAACAGAAGAGGATTTTCGGAATTTGCATAGCGTGAGAAGCCTTGGTCATGACAAAGATGCATTGTTATTTTTTTATGCATCTTTCTCCACCATCGTCTTGGGTGAATATTAATTGCATTTTGATTGCCGCAGAGCTACTATATTACTTCAAGAAATGGTAATGCACCACAAATGAAAGAGATACCGTTGTTATTTTTGGTGGTTGTCACTCTTCCATTGAGCCAAGAACTTGCCACACTATACAAATACTTTTTCCTTTCTCTAACACTTATTCACTCTTTAATTTTCTCAGTCTTCAGCTTTGCTTGTACCTAAAACAACAGAAATCTTTAATCTCCCAATTAAACCACATTAAAACATTGTCGTTGTCTTTAATCAGAAGTATGACATTTGGGAGTCAGTGACATTTCAGCGGGGAGGCTTTCAATATGTTTGTGAGTCTTATGGGACCAATTAGATAAATATTTAATGTACAGCGACCTGTTTCAGAACTGCTTCCACTGCTCGTTTTACTGTAGTTGGACACCTCATAGTCGCCCTTTCCTAAAGCTCAACTACAGGACCTGTGAGAGACACTTCCTTTGATGTGGCTAATTATTGTGCTTACTAACATAAATGACCTCCAAATGTAAACCCCTTATTAGGCCATGTTGAGCCTTATTTGAGCCTCAGTGTTGAACACGCACAAACTGCTACACTAAGGCTCTGACCCTTTCATTCTTAATGTGATCTCACCATATTATTTGACCTTTCAGCAAAGCACGATTGGCATTTTCTGCATCCACTGCAGAAAGAGCATTAAGATCCAGATTATAGTGCACTAGCATCAACATATTGCAAAGAAGGTTTGACGCACCAGCGGAGGAATGTTTTGGGTTCACTGGTTTATCTGGCTTTTCACCAGGCACTGGATTGTAAAATATCCTCTCGTTTCAGAGGTGGATGAGCGATGACCTTTGGTGCCTCTTTCCAAATGTTGTTCACATTTAATCAAGACCTGTGTGATATTCTCTTCTCCCTCCAGACCTTTCGACCCAGCAGCCAAATGTCTGAGGAGCCACGTCTAGTGTTTTCTATCTGCTGACTGGGCTCGAAAACAAATAGAGAGAGAGGAGAGCAAGCGTTCTCATATTTGACCTTTCGTCTAACGTCTGAGCATAATTTGCGCTTATGTGCGTGCATTCATGCTGTCAGAGGAGAAACCAAAAATGGTGCACGGCTTTGATCACTGATGTAACATTTAACGAGACAGTCGACTTCATCAGCCGACGACGCGAGAGAACGAGATGAAACAAAGTCTGTATGTTACTTACTGTTCTGGAATGCTTGTTTGGAAAGCAACTCACAAGTCGCTCGTGTTTTCAGGTTTTAATCAGAGAGAGGAGGCAAGGGAGAGAAATATTTGAGGTGTTGGGTGGGAAGGAGAAAAATAACCTCATCACCAGCTGGAGAAAACTCACAGACATATGTCTAGATGATTTACATCTGTGAAATGTTTGCCTCCATCATTCAGATCTCTTTTCTGACTTTTCTGACTTGCTCATCAGCTCAGAAATTGCAAGGTCTGTTTTCTCACGGCTGAGAAGTCATGGAAGACGCCATGCGGAAATTAGTCAATGTCAGTCACTTTGTTATGCTCTCATATCTTTATGTGCTGTGAGACAGTTGAGATTAAGTTATAAAACAGACTGAAGGAAATCTTCTATTACTGCAGATCTGTACTGTCATTAAAATCAAAGCCATTTTATTTAGTTCACTGATTTAAGATTTTGCTTAACAAACTTGTCTCGGTGGTTGTTAATTTATGGCGTGCTCATTTTGAGTTTATACGGTATAATGGTTATTTCTTGTACCTTATTACTGGCAAGCCAGTGGTGACAAAATGGATAGAGCCCACTCTGCATTCATGTTTAATAGCTTTTTATTTGAATAGCTCTGAGATAGATTTACTAGAAGGAATTTATTAAGGCATGCATCATTATTACTATTGCTCATACTTCGGGACTAGGAGTTGAACAAACCCCTAACGACAAGTACTAAACTTGGCCGTGTAACTGTTGGGCTTTTTTTTTACTTGACCACACAGTCACCTTAGCAGCCACACAAATCACCATAGCAACTATAAAGCAATGGGCTTGGCAACACTCTAGCAACCCAGGACAGAATAGCAACAGAAAATCACCCCAGCAACCATAAAGCAACACACAAGCAACCATACAGATCAACCAAGTAACATTACATATTTTTTATTATATATTATTTTTATTCATTTATTGGTCAATTTGAATAGGTACAGATACAATATACAAAGACAAAAATGCAACAAACTTATATTTTCAACTACCCAGAATTACCTAGCAACTACTCAAGTCATACTAGGAATTATATAGCAACGAGTTTGACAGACCCTAGCAACTATCTAGAACAGAACACCCTAGTAACACAAATCAGCCTAGCAACCATATAGCAATGAGCTTAGCAACACTTTAGCAACTACCCAGAACAGCGTAACAACAACAAATTACCCTAGCAACCATATAACGATGCCCTAACAACACAAATCACCCTAGCAACATTATAGCAACAAGCTTGGCAACTATCCAAAATGCCCTAGCAACTACACAAATAACCCTAACAGCTACTGTATATAGCAATGAGCTTGATTGTATCCTAGCAACTATCCAGAACAGAACTCACTAGCAACCTCACAAATAAGCCCAGTATTGATATAGCAACAACAAATTGCCCTAGCGACCAGAGCAATGCCCAAGCAACTACCTATAACACCTTAGCAACCATACAAATCACTTTAGCAATAATAAAGCAACAAGTTTGTCAACACCCAAGCAACTACCCAGAACACCCTAGCAACCACACAAATCACTGTAGTTACCATACAACAACTTATTTGTAAGTCGCTTTGGATAAAAGCGTCTGCTAAATGACTAAAAGTAAAGTAAAGTAAAGTACTTGGTAACACTCTAGCAGCTTATCATCAATAAGTCACCCTAGCAACCACATAACAAGAAGTTTGTCAGCTGAATTTCCATAACTTGCCCAGAATTCCATAGCAACTATTCAGAACACCCTAGGAACCATATAGCAACAAGCTTGGAATGCCCTGGCAACTACTCAAATCAACGATAAAGCAAATAGGCAGTAGCCTAGCCATCACCCAGAACATCCTAACAACCACACAACAAAACGAATGTGAAAAACACAAAAAAAAAAAAAAAAAAAAAAAAAAAAAAAAGATATTTTGACCGCTGTGCTTCAATCTTCTGAGACTTGACATTAGGTGTTTTATCTTCATGGAAGTTTGGGTCACTGTGAATTTTGTAAACACATTGCCCTTTTGCCTGAATGGCTTTTAAATGTTTAGCTTGTGTGCGTTTGGCGGAGGAGCGTTTGTAGCATGTGAGTTGTAGCAGAGCATCTAACCTCTTTTTGTCAAAGACGGCGAGGGGATATAAACTATAGAAGAGTCTCTTGTATTCCCAAATGGAGTGCAGCAGTAGTCCCGTCAGAGCCCCGGCTCAGCACACCACAGGAGCTGTCCAGGCTTGTGAGGATGAAGGGTCTGTGGGCTCCGGAGGACTGTGGCCATGCTTCCCATAATCCTGTTATCTGTCTCTCTAAAGCTTACCACTCTTCTGACCCGAAGACACCAGTGTTAAGCTGCCTCTGTCTCCTCTCCATTCGTTTTTATATATATATATAAAAAAACTTGCTTGCTCTTTTTTTCACCCTCTTTTGCTCCGGTTCTTAGTTTTTCAGTGAGTAAGAAAAAGTCAGATGGTGGTCTTCGTCCTAGTTTTTTTTTTTTTTTCATTCAGTCTAAAGTCACTGTCAGAGAATAGAAAATCCTTCTATTCCCAAGTATTTTATATGGCTAAGTCATCACCATCTTGTCTTCATCCATGAGAACTGCACATTGTCTCCCCCTTGTATATACTTTAAAAGACTCCTTACAAAAAATACTGTGGTGACCAGTTTCTGCCAAAATGGTGTAGTTACTACAGTTCCTGTCAAGGGTGTCATGCACTTATTTTTTGAAGAGGAACAAGTGGCAGTTCTGGCTTTCTTGGTGCCCCAGGCAAGAAAAGACGACCAAAGAAAAAAACGATTTAATAGTTATTTTTGTGCAATGGGAGTTCGAATCAAAATTATATAATATAATTATCCATACCTGACCATTTATATGTATCTTGCTGTGTTTGTTTGTTTATTATTATTATTATTGTTATTACATTTTTTGGTGAGGTAGTTGCATTCAAAATCAATTTGGCTCAAAAAACTGCAGATTGATTAATATAAGATCTCCTTTGGTGTGAAATGCTTCAAAATGTATTTATTTATTTATATTTATTTAATTGTTACCACATTTTTACTGTGTACAAATATATATATTTTATATTGTATGTTATATTGTTTCTAATGTATATTTTTGCATGCAAGTTAAGTGGTTTGTCATTGAAAGAGTCATGTTCGGATTGTTTTAATGAAATTCTGTGATCATTTATTAACAAGACAATGGGGTGTAAACAGGGCCAATATTCGCTCAGCCTAAGACATATGTTGAAAGCAAACACACAAATGGCAAGCTCAGTTCTTGGCTGAGATGCAGCAGCGGCGGGCCAAGACTGACATGTTTCTGCTCATCATTTCGAGCTGGCCTTGTTAATATACGTAGGGTGGACAGGCTGGTCTGTGTCTCCATTGGTATGCATGCTCTTAGATGTTCATAATGGGATAATTGGCATGCTCTTCTGTGTCTCCCATTACTAGGCAGCTAGAAAGGTCAGAATCAGGATCAAAGTCCATAAGCAGCCATTTGCAATGCTAATTTCCTCCAATAGAGTGATTGTATTTAAAATAAGAACGTAAAATTAGATTATTGTAGTCTAAATAAAGTGTCTTTCGTCGTGAAGGAGAGATTCTATTCCTCTTCAATTGGAGTGCGCTTAGCCATTGACTGACATACAACCTAATGGCATGAGATAAACCTTGACCTCGAACCTATTCAGTTCTCTTAAAATTCAACTCAATGGCTGGGCTGAAGAACCATGAAAGACGTCAACGTTTCTATCTTTGCTGTGCTAATGGAGAAAGACTGTAGCTTGACTTTCCGACTCTGATAGTAAAAATGTTTTAAACTGCTTTCATTATCTCCCATGAAACCACTTGTGGACTTTAAAAAGAATGGACTTTTAGAATTTTTAGTTTTAGCTTAGTTTGTTATATTAAGATTGGCCTAATTCTAAGGCAGACATAATGCATTGTGACAAGCTCAACATGAGTCAAATTTGATTAAAGTTTGATCATGATAGACAGAGACAGACAGACAGACAGACAGACAGATAGATAGATAGATAGATAGATAGATAGATAGATCGATCGATCAAGTACAAACAAAAATACAAACAAAAACAATATTTATTTATTTTTCCCCCTTAAGTTAAAAATTGTCTCCCTGTAAGAAATCTCCCAAAAGACAGTGGGAAGCTCACTTGCTTTTGAAACTGTAGTTAAGCAGATAATACGGTACTTGTACAGCAGGTATTGCAAATGAATAATTAACAGGTTCTATACTGTTTTAATTGAAACTGGGCTTGCCGATACTTGGTAAAGAGTGCAGAAAATTGAATCATCCATGTGCAGATAAAAATCACTGAGATTCTCCATCTTAATTAGAGGCGCTCTCAAACACAATTCATGTGCATCCACATTCACACAGAAAAGAATCAAACATATGGTAATAACCGGACCCCCCATCTCTCCCCTCCATTTGTTGTCTGTTCGTTCAAGTAGTTTTGTTTTATACACACCGCGCAGCTCGCTTCTCAGGAACGCTTCACCTGTTTCGTTTTTCTTTAGTTCTTACCTTTGTGCTGTTGTTTTGTTAGTAAATTTGAATGTTATGAAAGATTGCCATTCTGATTGGGAAGGTCTGCCAGTCCTCTAACCTTGGTGTCCAATTCATCATGTTGTTTGAGCTGAAATTCCTCTGTGCGAGCCGAGGTCTTTGATGGGAGTCTTTCGGCTTTCAGAGACCTCTGCTCTGCGCACTCCTTTAGCATGAGAGATGTGCCCTGAAAAAGAATTGATAGATCAGCCAGGATGTGCATGGATATTATTACCTAATTCCAGATGGCCGTTCTGATGGCAACAAATGGCCTTGCCGTACCAACCCCACTGAGACGAAAACATTAGACGTGCGAGTACAAATTTCTCCTGGCACAGCCGCAGAAATGAAATTAAGCGGATCTTTAATGCACGAACAATGAGCACTTGACGAATAGCTCAGCTCGAACCTTCATTACCACAGCACCCTTGGATTTGGAGTGCATTCGCCAGAGTTGCCGTGACCTTGGCGTGACATTAAAGGAGCGTAGAGGGAACAGAACTGGGTTACGAGGGTCGTGGCCTGACTGACTGTGCTATGCCATGTTGCTCCACAGGAGGTGATGCAGATGGAAAGACAGCTGGGAGGTCGACTGATTGACGAGCCTCACGTCCTGCTCTTCAAAGACAGCTACCACAACCTGCGCCTCTCGATTCACGACATGCCCCAGGCATACTGGAGGAGCAAACTACTCACCGGCTATCAGGTGGGTTTCTATAAAACACCTTCTCTTTCTTGCAGCACTTCTTGAATTTAATGGTGTTTGCTACAGTGAGCGGCTCTATTGCTATCACTCATACGTGGAGTAAGTGGTTTTTCAAAACCCATAACCTCAAATATTAAATGTATTAAACATTAAATACAAAAAAAAAAGCCTGGAAGCCTGCACATTTGCAAAAGGTACATATTAGTACCTAAAAGGGCTTGAAATAGCTAAAGGTGGAGTAGGCAGTTTCTGTGCTACTAGTGTCGCCTGGCAGAACTACAAAAATAAACCACATTTTCAGACAAACTTTGCAAACATCCCTTTCGCGCATCACGCCTCCCCTAACTCAAACGTCACAAACACAGCTCTTGCGAGTCTATAAAAGTGAAGGCATGTCTAAACAGCTAAAAGTAGACAATTAGGCTTCTATTTTCAATGAAAGGTCCATCATACAATACTTTTAACTTGAAGTTTAGCTTACCTGTCGAGAATAATCTCAAGGTCATCATATCAATTGAAACCCAAACATTCCATCAGACCAAATGTAATGATTGAATGCAATGATAGGACAGACATTTTATGGTCCTGAGGCTTCCACATATATATATTGATAGCAATATTATTGATTGCAATCAGGCCTTTCAACCAGTATAACAAAAATGTTTCTGGAAAAAAAATTACCTACCGTATCTTTAACCTTGGGTCATTCTAAACCCAGGGAAAGCTGAGTCCAGGGTTATCTTGTTTATCTTGTTACACATTGCTCATAATTTACCCGGGGTTAAACAATTGATCTTGTAAACGAGTTTTCTGTCACGAATTAGACAATTTTTGCCTCATGACTGTTTATACAATGCGCAGTGTTTCTGTGACTGTCTAAATGCGATTGGCTGTCTGTTGCTAAGCATCTAGTCATGACATTCTAACAACGCATCTTTTCACACTGTACATGTTTGGCACCACAATGCGGGGTTAACAGCACAAATACAGTGCTAAGCCTTCTCTGGATGGTAAATTATAGTACCTTTTGAAAGAGTACCCAATGACAGCTTTTTTTTTCTGAGAGTGTAGGCAAATAAATTGCATTCATATTTTGAGAAGCAATCGCTCAAAGTCCTAGCAACCACATGACTATCTGCTAACATCCATGCAGAACAATTTAGCAACCACATAGCGACACCCTAGCAACCGCCCAAATTGTTCTGCCATTGTGACAAGAAGTCATGGGTAAAGTAGCAAAAAGTTTTCCATCTGTTTGAAATTCTTTGCTTCTGTAACATGTACTGGTAATGTTATGTTTGTCTTTTTGATCTTTGTTGTCAAAGTCTTTTCGAAGCATAATTGAATGAGTTAGAGTTATTTAGAAAGTTATTTTTTCTTGGGGGCAAATTTGAAGTGCTGTGCTCTGAGCTTTCTAACAGCACTCTTAAAAATAAAGGTGCTTCATGATGCCATAGAAGAACCTTTTTGTCTAAATGGTTCCATAAAGAACCTTTAACATCTGAAGAAACTTTCTGTTTCACAAAAGCTTCTTTGTGGCGAAAGAAGGTTCTTTAGATTATAAAAAGACAAGAAAGAGATGGTTCTTTAAAGAACCTTTGACTGAATGGTTCTTTGTAGAACCAAAAATGGTTCTTCTATGGCATCGCTGTGAAGAACCTTTTAAAGCACCTTTATTTTTAAGAGTGAGGGTGTGTGATCTGATATGTCCTCCGGATTGCTGTAATTGGAAATTTCTTTGGTTTCGCCTCATTAGAGTATTTCTGAACGTGCAGGGATGCTAAAGAAGCCCATTATAGAGTGAATTGGCGAGCAGGGACCCTAGAACATCTGCTCTTAATAACATAACCTTGGCTACGAGTTAACGGCTTCTTGGGTAAAGAAGGATTGAGAGCGCTTCAGTTTTCTCATATGTCTTCCTCACCCCCTCTGCCCATCTCAGAACGAATCCAGGGTTATCTTGCTTAATATTACACATTGTTCATAATCTACCTGGGGGTTAAAAATTGATCATGTACTGTAAATGGGTTTTCTGTCACCATTTGACAAATTTTGCCTCATGACTGTTTATACAATGTACAGTTTTCTGTGACTGTCTAAAGCATGTGAACATGAGGCACGTGATTGGCTGTCTGTTACTAAGCATCTAATCATAGCATTCTAACACCACATCGTTTCACACTGTGCATGTTTGGCACCACAATGTGGGGTTAACAGCGCAAAAGCAGTGCTAAGCCTGCTCTGGATGGTAAATAATAATACCTTTTGAAAGAGTACCCATTGACAGCTTTTGTACCTTTTTTTACTTGGAGTGTAGGCAAATAAATTCATATTTAGAGAAGCAATCGCTCAAAGTCCTAGCAACCACATAACGACACCCTAGCAACCGCCCAAATTGTTCTGGCATTGTGACAAGAAGTCAAGGGTAAAGTAGCTGCAAAATGTTTCCCTCTGTTTGAAATTCTTTGCCTCTATAACGTGTACTGCGGATGTTATGTTTGTCTTTTTGATCTTTGTTGTCAAAGTCTTTTCGGAGCGTAATTGAATGAGTTAAGAGTTAGTTAGCCAAGTTATTTTTTCTTGGGGGCAAATTTGAAGTGCTGTGCTCTGTGGCTGCTCTGAGCTTTCTAACAGGGTGTGTGATCTGGTATGTCCTCCGGATTGCTGTAATTGGAAATTTCTTTGGTTTCGCCTCATTAGAGTATTTCTGAACGTGCAGGGATGCTAAAGAAGCCCATTATAGAGTGAATTGGCGAGCAGGGACCCTAGAACGTCTGCTCTTAATAACATGCACGGCCTTGGCTACGAGTTAACAGCTTCTTGGGTAAAGAAGGATTGAGAGCGCTGCAGTTTTCTCAAACGTCTTCCTCACCCGCTCTGCCCATCTCAGGACTCTTTCCCACTGGAGGAGATTAAATATAGACCAATATGTAAATGCTCAAGGCTGCAACACCTGATTTTTCTCGTATTTCCCTTCCTGGATCATATATGCTGGGCCTCAGAGGAACGTCTCTGGATTCTGGAGGATTCTTGGCGTAAAAAGCTCCTCCGAGGATTTGGAGATGCCAGCTCACAGTGTTACAGCACAAATGTGCATAGAGGAAACATTTTCTCACCTGAACGTCCCCTATTTTTTTAGATAAGTATGTTGCTTGGCTTGGGTTTCCTGCAGACTTTTCAGTCTGTGTAACAGCTCCCCCATTGGAGTAAACTGAGGTATTGCATATTCACTAATAATGCTGCCTTTTATTGATTTGCAGTTTGATTGACTCATGATTGATGTGTAGTCTTAAATAGTGTGCGCTTATCTTTGTTTTTTGTGTCACTCTTCACAATTAATTAGACATTATGAGACAAGAGCATGTTATAAAGCTAAATAATTAGTCTAATCAAACTGTCTGAACGTGTTGTATTTGACAGACTAAATGTATTGTTTTAATACGTGTTCTTATTTTATTTGACTGTGGATATGCAGGCATATCTTCTCTATCTACTGAATCGTGCTCGTTCATAAATTAAATCCAAATCCCCAGTTGTGAGCAATTAGCTTTTAAGGATGTTCTACTGTTGTCAGAGACAAAGGAACTATTTTGCTGCTTTGTTTGAAAATGTTGCCAACAATAGATTGAGCAGAGCTTTCATAAACTCGCACCGGCAGCCACAGCATCATAAATCATCAGGTGTTGGACTTTTTCTTTGTCTGTCTCTTACTGGCCGTCAAATTCAGCTGGATCTATTGTTTGTAAGTAGAGAACTTTTAATGCAAAGGAAGCTGTGTATTATCTACCAAGTGACAGAATTGTTCTCTCAAGTTTATTTATGTCAGATGCAAAGTTTGCCAAAGGTTGCTAAAATGAGGAATATTTTGCATAATTCTTGTGTTGCAAAAATTTAACTGCATCCTCCTGTGGCACTGAATTGTAGCAGTGCATATTAAGCTATTCACTTAACTCTATATCTGTAGATTTTGGATTGACTCTGTTGATTTTGAGGGAAAATAAATCATAAATAAAATAAATTATGGGAAATAAATTATAGTGTAAAAGTGTATTGTACTCTAAAATACACTGTTACATCCTAAAAATGACAATTTAAGCTAATTCATGATACTATTACTGTTAGATTTTATTGCTGATTTATATAACTTATGTTTTTGAAACAATCAGTACTGACAAGGCTGGGAGTAGATTTCAGAACTGATTTGTTATGAACAGTAACAATTCAGTGTGACATGTCTTTGGTCCTTTAGGAGATCCCGTTCTATCACATCTGGAGTGGCTCTCAGCGGACCCTGCACTGCACCTTCACACTGGAGAGACAGAGCCTGAGCACCTGTGATCTCACCTGCACGCTGTGTGTGTGGCAGGTAGAAGGAGAGGGACAACGCTTCACCCTGGACTTCAACATCTCAAAGGTAACTGAGACCACCTGCAGTATGATATACCAGTAAACAGTAGAGATTGTAGTATTAAAGCTGCTTTACGAGATGTATTGTGATTTCAAATTGGATTTGCACTAAGAATTGGTATTGAATTTAGAATTTAAATTAATTGACATTGTATTGTGTGCACACCGTAGATTATTTTTTGACATTCTCCAAAACCTAGCTCAGTTGATTTGGATTTAGAACAGAATTGAAATAGAATTCATTTAAAGTAAAAATGTATAAATTGTAACTAAATTGAATGGACTTGCTACTGTGGTCTGCACATATGTGCATATATTAATTTTGTATTAGAATTTGGAATTTTAATGTGAACTGAATTGAAACTACATTTAAATATTTCTCAAAAACCTTTTGAATGTCAGATTCTATTTAACTATTTTCCAAACTGATTCTCATGCAAAAAAATAGATTTTGAATTTGGTTTATAATGAGAATTGGAATTGGACTTGAATTTGGAATTTAAATTTCATTTAAATGTAAATTAGTTGACACTGCATTCTGCACACACAGAAGTTTATTTTATTGTTTTAACATTCTCCAAAACCCAGCTCAGCTTATTTGAATTTGGAATATAATTTTTTTTTTGTTATTATTATTAAAATTTAGAACATTTAAAGAAATTTAATAGACTTGGAACTGTGGTCTGTACATGCAGTACAGACTATTTTTGAATTATAAACAGAATTTGAAATTTAGTGTGAATTGAATTGAACTATAGTCTATTCCTGCTTTTTTAAACCATTTCTCAATTTCAATTCAATACCCGCATTCTATTCAATTATTTTCCAAACTTATTCTCATGCAAACGTAGATCTTCTCCATAGATCTTCAGATCTCTGTACAGTTGGAATGAGTAACACATTGAAATGTTCTTGACTCTAGGACATCAGACCACTGGACTCTGATTTCCTGTTAATGGACAACTGCACCCCTGCCCTGGCTGGTCCGAGTGCATTCCAGATCCCTTACCTCATCCGACAGAAGATCTGCAGCAGTCTGGACACCCCCTGTCCCAATGGAGCAGACTGGAGACTACTGGCCCAGAGACTGAAGCTTGACAGGTAGGATCTGTCAGTGTTAGAAGGTATTATCTCTAAGGTCGAGAATGGATCCTGTTTAACAAAATCTGAGGATTCTTGTTGCGGCTTTTGGAAACTGTTTTTTGCAGAGTGCCCATATCTAGAGCAGATTGTGTGGTTCTGTACTTGCATATTAAATACAGACTTCCACAGGAAATTACGAGGCAGTAATTTAATTACACTCCCATTGAACTTCCTCCAGGTAATGGAACATAATGGGCAGACTTCATTTGTCCAATAATGTTTACTTGCTACAATTAATTACAATTTGAAGTGTTGTGGTGTGGTGTGTGTTCAATTAGCACACTAGCCCAAAACGATCAATTTTCATTTACTTAGTTAAGAAAAAGCACAGAATCCACACAGGTGGAAATGTTCTTAATGTTTTTTTACTCGAAAGCAGCGCTACTAGTGAATACAACCCTGACTGTAAACCTTTTCTCACTGAGAACAGAGAGCATGTAGAAAACAACACTTAAAGCCACAGGAATTTGAGGTACAGAAAAAGGCTGTTAGATCGAACCCACTTCAGCTTCCTTTGGGAGATGCATCTTGCAACATCTAATACGCTGCAAAAAGGGGTTGCTTTGTTCTTATTGATCAGCTTTGATCCAAAAGGTTCAGCCTGGTCAATGAAAAAGGTCACATGCAACCTGGGTTTTACCCTTTTAGAAAACTGAGACCCACAGTAGATAATTCATCAAATGAAAATGCAGGGCTGCTTTAGTTGAGGAGTTAACAAAAGGGTGTTAAGCACGTGTTCTGAAGAACTGAGCGTGCGTTTGTTGGTTTAGTATAACTATGTCCAGCTAATGTGTCTCGCTGGACCTGCATGCATAGATTTTCTACTCTCCCTTTGAATGGAATGACAGTGAAGCTGATATATTGGTTTACAATGCAAGATAAGCTTCTTGATGTTTTATTTTATTTTAGGGAATAATGACTTACGACTCTCCTGCAATCCTGATTTACTTTTTACAAAGAAACAAACCATGCATTGAGAAGCAAATTCATTGCATTTCAAATATAGTTTTTATTATATCTGGTTATAAAGGAAAAACAGAAGGCTAGCCGAGTGAATCTCACTAAAAATGTCCAGGGCATCCACCACAAAATAAAAATATTTTGTGTGCGATTTACAAAGCCTGTTATTTGATTTTATTTGTATTTTTTTAAAACAACTGGTGAGTTTAATTTATATATTCAATTTAGGACAACAAATGCTATCATGCTTAAAGTTTTACTTTACAGTTTATATAATGTATCATTAACACTTTACAGTATAGTTTAATTTTATTAATGTAAAAACATTAGTTAAATACAATGGTTAACATGAACTAACAATCAGGGGCGGACTTACCCATTAGGCAAAGGTAGGCGACCGCCTTGGGCCCCCAAAAGCCAAGGACCCCCAAAAATGCATTTCATATACGATATGCGCATCAAGCGCGGACACGCAAACGATTGCTGTTTACGGTGTTTATTACCACGACAATCTGTCAACCTGTTTCTACTTAAGACACTGTGCATCAATAATTATTTTTATCATTTATAACGCGTTGAACGTGTTTCTTGTGTATCCTGGTTTAAGGAAATGAAAATATCATGCATCTGAAGACTGAAGCTGTAATTAAATATTGAGCAACTGTGCGTATTATGTATATTGTTTATTGTTTAAATGCCGCTTACTCATTTATGAGAAGGACCTTACTTTTTTGGTTGATATAATCCTTAGGTGTGTAAAAATGTATAATTTCCTTTTCATTTTTTTTTTCAGTTTGATTTAAATTTGTAGTTAAAATAACTAAAAATAAATGTAATTTAAAGTTTAGAATTAGACAGCCTTTGGAGAGTGTATGAGCCCAGGCACACAGGCTTACGCTGGTAACTCATCACTTTCCTCATCAATATAGGTTAAATTTTTTCCACACTTTTCTCATTCTCTCTAATTCAAGTTTTTATATGAATGAATCTCTGAAGGGAAGCGACTGTCTTCAGAAAAGTTTTGATGGCATTTTCATTTTATCTGATAAAGTAGCGTTTATGAGCGCAGCGCTGCTTTGGGGAAACCGCTATATTTCTGACGTTCCAAAAGCACCTCCTGCTGGCAGACAATGAATTTGCATTTTCAATCACCCCGTCTGCAGTTTTTGTTCAGACCAATGCGAAAATCCACCCACTTAACCCCGTTTTAATTAACTTTCAATTTATATTTCTGACTCATCCCTTTTCTTAAAAAAATGGTTTAAAGGCTCAGTTGTGAGGTTTATCATTTTATAATTTATTTTGTTTTTGTGAAAACCTGTATCTTATCTGTAAATCAATTGCTATTTCGTGGTCTACAACATGAAAGAAAGCCATTATAACATGTACATGAAAAATGTAGAAACATTGGACACAACTATGGGGCACCATTGTACAGCAGCAAGCATCACAACAAAAAAGGAACCTCACGGTTGATCCCAGTAAATGTGTGCAAGTGTCCTATATTTTGCCTGGGGCCCCCAATTCACTAAATCCGCCCCTGCTAACAATGAACAATACCTCTAAAGCATTTATTAGTCTTAGCTAATGTTAATACAAACATTTCGTAATACATTTTTAAGTTCAAAAGTTGTATCTGTTAACATTAGTTAATGACCTGTGAACTAACATGAATATTAACAAAAGTTAAAGGGGGGGTGAGTAAAACGCAGCCTAATTTTCATTTTTGGCTGAACTAACCCTTTAATAAATGCTGCAAAAATATATTGCTCATTGTTAGTTCATGTTACTTATCGTAACTATTGTTAACAAATGAGACGTTTTTTTTTTTTATAGTTTTGCAATATAATAATATGCATATGTTATGATGCTCACGAGTCAGACATAAACTGCAACATACAATTTTTATACAATATAAGACTTGCTCTGTCTATCCAGACTGCAGTAGTATACTGACAATTTCCTTCCCTCTGTTTTCCTCTCCAGGCACATGAGTTTCTTCGCATCCAAAGCGAGCCCCACATCAGTGATTCTGGACTTATGGGAAACCCAGCACTTCCACAGCGGTAATCTCAATCAGCTTGCCGCTGTGATGGCTAAGATAGGCAAGCAGGAGGCCATGATATTCCTGGTGTCAGACGGGGAGTGCTGACACATTAAAACTGAAGCGCGGCGGCCGTCTCTGAGTGATGGGGTGGGGGAAGGACGTGACCCTCTGCCCACCCCACCATAGATGAGAAACAAATCAAAGAACAGGGTTTACCCAACTATATGAGGCCACTTCCCCAGTGAATAGGGAATAAAAAAAAAGAAAGAAGGAAGAAGAAAAAAACAAGACCAGGCTCAGGAGGAACCTGGCAGGGCTTTAAGATGTACTGTGACTGAGACAAATGCCCCTTTCTCAGAACAAAATTCCATTTGTTTTGAAAATAATGGTGTATAGAAAATCCTAGATTCTATGATTCTGGTCCTGCCCTCAATCACTGACCAATATTAACTTTCTAACCACATTTGTGTTAGGTACATTGATATTAATATCAGACTGGAAACTAAAACGAATGGGTTTGAAAGATATCAAGTGGAAAATGTATGCTATGTAGGTGAGGTGAATATTTTGCGAACTAATTCAGATTTGTGACATGCATTTTGTAAATGTGTACCATTTGGCAATATGCAAACACACATATCGATGACAATTTCCTTTGGCCGACACGTTTCTTACCTCACAAAGCATTTAAAATTGTAGAGCGTTTGCTAAATTTCAGGTCGAAAACATTAAGGAAGTAAAGCGTTTTTGACGAGATCCATCACTTGTTCCTCTGCCCCTGTGCACTTAACGTGTGTTTTCGAACTCATGAAGCCATAAAGTCCTAAATTCACCTCAATGCAGAGATATATGTTCTGATCCGGGTGGATAATCAGTAAATAAACATAGGATTCTGTGGATGTTTAGCTGCTGAAGGATGGGTGATCAGGGACCTCAAACATTTTCCTAGCTCTTTTGCAGAACATTACGCTTTGTTTTTGCTTTCAACAGAGTTTTGAGAATAGGGGTCAGATGTTCTGCAAAGCATTTTTCCATGGCCATCTTATGTCAATGAAACCCTTTCAAGACCATAATTCTCATCTGGGTCCATAGAATTCTTCGTTTATAAAGGAGAAAAAAAAAAGTTCCCCGTTGGAAAGGTTTTCTTCTTTTATAAACACAAAATGCAATATTACCAAATGTTTCATTGCTATTCTCCTTCATATTTAATGAATCTACGTTTCTCTGAAGGCTTCAGGGCAATTTCTTATTCGTAGGAGAAAGAATATTTTCATCACCCCCCAAAAAGCAAATGTTCCATCCAAGAAGACTTCACCGAGACTCAGCAGCTGTCGTATTTTTCTAAATTCCTCCATCACACGTGTGCTTTGTTTCTGCGTAACTGTCACATCCTGTAGAACAGCAACACGACTCAGCCCTGCGTTTGGCGCCATGAATGTGCATTACACGGTTTGAAGATTGTCCGATTATTTTTTAGTGTGTGTTTGAATGTGAGAGTATTTCATTCCAAATGAAGGATGATTTGTGAGAAACTGTGGATCACAAATTGGCCGCTTTCATCTCGACCAGTAATGACGGCCACGTCTGGAGATGATTGGAGGAGTCCGGCATGTTTCCTCCGCAGCAAGTGGAAATACACAGGCCTGTTTCACTCAGCTAACGGAGAACTCAAGTTAAAGGCCAAAATGTGCACTTTTTTTTTTTTTTTT